CAACAACTGAAACTGAGATTGCACATATGTCATTTTACTTGAATCTGATTTATGTCCTGAAAGTCAAACCAAAATCAGAGTACAGGAGTCACGCAGTACACTCAATCAAAACATAGAGAGATATACAAATAGGGGTTATAGTTGGTTCCATAGAGGGAGTCAATGGATTACCACTCAGTTCCCTGCCTCCAGGACTCCGCCTGAGTCCCRGCAGAGCTCCCGCAATCGGTGGGGCAACTTCYCACAAAGGCCTTGGTGCAGGTTATGGGTCACACGCCCGCTTGCCGCCTTCCTCTCATAACAATCAGACTAGACTTAGATTAAGAAGGGCAGAAGGAGAAAGTTTCAGTCTCTCAGATCCCAGGGAGGTGCGCTCAGTCGCGCAGGAGAGGGCCTTGTTACCTTCAGTCGCTTGAGGGCCCCGCAATGGCCGCCAACCGACTGCTTCTTCAACTCCTGAAGTAAAACTGCTGAACTCAACCCCCTAATGGTCTCCCAAATCGCAACATTAGTCCCCTAGTTGCCCGGTCTGTCCACCTCCTCAAGGCTCAACATCCCTCCTCGGCCCCGTTATGGCTGCACAGTGGCCTGAAGCAGTTCTTAGATGCAGCTGCAGCACTCAGCGGCGGCCAACGACCGCCACCACCAACAGCAGCAGCTCGTGTGCAATCAACAACAGCCTGTAGCATTAGTCCACACCCAAATCACTTAGTAGCCGCAGCCGTGCCCAGCTAACCGCAGTTGTAGGCCTGTTTATTGTAGTCAAAGGTGTCGTGCATAGTCAGACGGACGCAACTGTAGGCCTGCTTATTGTAGTCAAAGGCGCCGTGCATAGTCACACGGACGCAACTATAGCCTGTGCCCAGTCCATAGCAGCAGTTTGCGCGCCGAATGCAGCAGCGGTCTGTGCACAGCCCCCAGACGTAGCCGTCCGCAGCAGTCAGCGGTAATACGCAACAGTACGCAGCAGCTAGCATCAGTACTCGACAGTGCGCCGCAGCCAGCCTCCTGCAGTAAGCACAACAACTGTTGCAGCAAGAACACAACCAAAGCGGTCAGCGGAGCGCTCAGCAAACGCGGCAGCAATTCAGCCCATGAGATGTATCCTGTACTTCTCTCACACAAAGCCAATCATACATCAGGATAAATCTACACATGTGAGAGTGATAGTGGTCGTCATAAGACAAGTCCCATAGAAGCTCAACTCATGATACACTCAGGGAGTAGAATCCTTCCCCAAGACTCAAACACAAACACTCAACTCAAACTCCGTCCACTTGAGCATGGTTCCCGACCCCACTGTACACCCGCGGAGCACGCCCGGGGACGTAACAACTACTCAAAACCTAACGGGTCACTGTGCCTAGCCCTCTGCCTCACCTAACTAGGGAAGACTCATACCCAAGCCTCTCTCAAACCCAGGTAGTCTCTGCACTGCGAAATCACAAGTGGATTGACTAGCCCCGTATATCCTACGGCCGACCCTCATGCCCTAAGCCGTAGCCTATGAAAGAAAAACTCAAAAAAACCTCAATCAACTATATATGTACAAACAGGCAGGGACTCATCCTATTACCTCTGAAACGTGCACACATTTAGGGCCCCCTCAGCCAAGTAAACATATGTACACCCCCAACCCAGCCCCTGTGTGCGCACTATTCTAACCCTACTGACACACAGACAGACCAGTCCCTACTTACATAATTCCTCCTGGTTCTGCCTATACAACTGAGCCCTGCCCCCATCTGGAACTCGCTCTACTATCATACCCTGCCTGTCATAGAACTTGTCGTCGACCTCTGCAACCCGTCCCTCGGCCTTATCCTCAAGGAGCTCTGCACAGTCCACGACTAAGTGCCCCTCCTCCTTGCACCAAAAATAGGAGGTATCGCGCCACCTGGCAGTCTTCTTCTTTCTTCCCCGCGAACGCGATGACGAAGGCGTCCCCATGGTCTTAGCAGTCACCTCATGACACGAGGGCAATCTCACATGGCCGTGAGGCCTGGGCTCCATAGCCTCAGCACCCTCACCCCCTCGTGCGGTCGTGCTCACTGACCTGCAGTCTGGCATACCCGACTCTCGGGGACCCTCCTCACGAGGCCCCTCGGTCACCACCACCTCATCCCCACATGCTCCTGACGGCTGAGAGCCCCCCATGGCGGTGCGCTCACTTATGACCTCCTACTGCTGCTGTTGCCGCGAGTCAGGCTCTCCTGAGTCTGTCTCCGTGGCCTAGGAGCCCAGCTCCGCCCTCAACTCTCCCAACCTCGGGGCATGCTCTGGAGCGTCAAGTCTCTTAAGCCCCTCCTGGGGAGTGCCTATCCCCATGGCCGCTGCCAGCTCATGCAAACGCGAGCCTCTCCTCTCCGTGGACATAGCCATAAGCGACTCCTGCGCGCCACCCTCCTCCTCAACTGCGTCCAAGGGCACCTCCTCCATTGGCTTGGCCTGACGAGGGACCTCCACTGCTACTCCCTGACTCGGCGAAGATTGCCTCCCTCGGCCCTGACCATTAGCAACGGCTCGCCCTTCCTGGCTGGCCTCCCAGGCTGCCGAGAGCCTATCTACAGCGGCTGCCATCTCCCCAAATCTCCTCTCCCACTCAACCTCTCTAGCCTGGCTCCTCGCCCTCTCCTCGACAAGCTGAGTAGTCAGGTGCTCTACCTCCAACTCTTTGACTCTGAGCTCATTGTTGAGTAGATTATACCACTGGAAAGATGTGACTGCTGTCTCGCATACCCTCCGATCCATGCGCTCAATTGCCTGCCTGGTCGCGGAGAACCCCAAGTCCCCCATCTCTCTTAACTCACTCGTCTCCTTGTCCGCCTGTCCTGCCTCTCGTGACCTCTGGCGGGCCGCATCCCTCTGACTCTCATATCTGACCCACAACTCGTCGATCCTCTGCTCGCTCGTCTTGGGCTCGACCGGTGGTGTCGGCTCTATCCCTGCCGCCTCCATCTCAGCCTGCCTCGCGTGTATTTCATCCAGACGGACCCGTACCCGAGCGGACCTCTCTTCGCGGGTCTCCCTTGGGGCTCCTCTTACTCGCGGCCTCTGGCCCTCCGGGGTTGGTGCCTCAATACCCATCCCCTCGCTCGTGCATGGCACTGCTGGCGGTAACTCCACCGGAACGGGCTCCTCGATAACTGGGCTCTTGGTCACGTGCGTGGCCGATGGCAAGTCAAGGGGTGCCTCCATCCTCACTCCCTCGCCCGCCCCGTGCTCCTCCATCTCTACTACCTGCTCAGGCACCGCATTGGCCTCTAACTCAGGGATCTCCTCGCTGCCTGGTTTCGGAATCCCCTCTGGCCACGGGTGTTGTGCTAGCTCTGGAACTGGGGAGCATGGCGGGGTATCGTCGCCAACCGTGATCACTTCCCCACCCTGAGGTCGTACCGGATCCGGCTGCTCGACTGCCATCTCAGGATCCTGCAGCTCCTCTCGGTCTCGCATGTCTGTCTCCATCTCGGGGTCCAAGGGCTCCTCCAACGGCACGTAGCACGCCGGCTCAACTGAGCCCTCTCCCAGCCGTGAGGCCTCCCATTGGGATACGTCGAGATGAGTCGTTAAGCTTCGGAATGGCGTCTCTCTTGGTATGTCCAGCTCCTGTGCTGATGGCAATGGTGGGGGCGATCTCAACTCCTCACTCGTAATCCGTCGAAACTCGACTGCCCGGAGGCCACAAGCGGGGAACGACTCCTCTGCCAATGCGGGCCCTGCGGGCTCATCCTCCTGCCGTGGTGGGGCCCTCCTCCTCTCTCTGGCTAGCCCCACCTCTCTCGGTGCCGGTTCCCTCGGCCTCTTGCTTCGCCGTCGCGTCTCAACCCTGGGCTCGTGCCTCTCGTGCTGTGCCCGTCCGAACGCCCTCCTGAGCAGGGCCTGACAGTCCTCCCAGTCTCGAGCCCTCTCTCGAATCTGTTTGGCCACCTGCCTCTCTGCCTGCCTCGTCCAGATAAGTAGGGCCTGCACCCACTCCTCCTGCGCAACCCCCCAGACTCAACATGTAGTGCTCATATGCGGGGATGAACTCATCTCCATTCCCCTACTCCAATCGAATGGGCATGCTGTCACGCCCCCTAGGGGAAGCCCTCAACCTCTGCATCCCGGCCTCCACATCTGGCCAAGTCAGGGCCTCCTCGCATATCTGAGCGACAGGCTCCTCGAACCGCCCTATACCCCTCAAGTGGTGAATCCTCTCCGCTACTGACCACCCTCTCTGTGCCGCATGGTCCCGATATACGTCCAAGAAGAGCTCAATGTTGTCGTCATCAAACTCAGGTGTAGGCTCCCTCCTAGGCGTCCCATGCTGCTCGCCCCCTCCCGCCATCCTCTGGAGCCCCTGGCGTGGCCGTGTGTTCCTCCCGCCCCTCTGCATGACTGCCTTCGAAAAGTCAAACCTGCACAACAGGCGAGAGACAACAAACAGGCACACAGCAGGGTCAACAAACTGAGCCATCGGCTTAGGGAAACCCCACACACTCTCCACACCCAGCCATCCCAATCACCCACCAATCTAATTACCCGACCTGGGTAGTACCTAGGCAAGACTCTATCCCTAACGAGGTCTCATGGCCCCCTTACCTATTCCCTGGCCACGAACTTCTTCAGCCTTGTCCCTGACACCCAGTCGTGCCATCCCGCCCCATCCAACTCTTCGATTTGATAGGCCCCAAACTCGCCACACCGCACGATCCTATAGGGTCCCAGCCATCGCTTATCGAGCTTCCTAGACCATTGTTTCTCCAGCGAGGAGTCATATAGTAATACCGCATCTCCAACCTTCAGCGCGTCCTTCCTTATTCGGGCCATTTGGTCCCATCTCATCGTGTCTTCCATACGGCTTCTCTCTACCTCACCAGCGGCCTCTCGTAGCCTTTCTTCAGCGGCTCCCACTTGCCGTGCCCGTATATCGAGCAGTTCTTCAAATGACAGGTTCACTTCCAGGTCCTGGCGCCTCCACGTCTTCATAAAACTTTTAATGGGAAAGGTGGCATGCCTTCCGTACCATAGTGTGGCTGACGCATACTTGGTAGTCCTTTTTACCGTAACATTTTCCACGAAGAATGTTGCTTTCAGGAACTTTGGCCACTGGTTAGGCCTCCCCTCAGTCCACTTGGCCAGAAGATTCGTGATGGTACTATGCCCCCTCTCCACAGGTGCGTTTGCCTGGGGATGCGCGGCAGTAGTGTAGTTTGCTACCGCGCCGTACCCTGCAAGCAAGGTCCGTACCTCATTACAGGTGAATTTCGACCCTCGGTCCATCACAAATTCTCTGACGAACGGATAGCGCAGGTAATACTCTTCGATGCACCTTGCTAGAAGTGGGTCAGTCTTCGTACGAATAGCTCGACCGTCCACGAACCCGGTAAGGTTGTCTCGTGCGTCGAAGATATAGTTACTTCCGTCTTCCCCGCGTGGCATGAACAACAGGTCCAGGTGTACCACTGCACCCACTTCCCTTTCCAGCCTGGGGTGCAAAGGTTCCCCCGGCCTTTGCGCCGACCTCTGTTGGCAAGGTACACAAGACTGGCAGTACTTGATGACCATAGTCAGCATTCCATCCCAATGGTATAACTCACTTATCTTTGCGCACGTGGCACTAACCCCTCTGTGCCCCTCTGCTATACCATCGTATAAGGCTGCTATGACATCAATCTGCCGGTTCCTCCCACATACGATCCTCTTTGGGTTCCCAACCTGTCGCTTTATAAACAGATGACCATCTCTTACAACGTAGAGATGCCTCATCTTCTGGGCTTTAGCACTTGCGTCCCTATCCCTCATCTCGCATGACAGGAGTAACCCCAACTCCCGATAGATGCCGTCATACTCCTCAGCGCGGAAGGCCTCCCTGATCTCCCCCTCTTCGAACTCATCGTCCTGGCTTTCCGGAACACGAATTTCACTTTTCTCCGGAACAAATGAGTTCCTCCGGTCGAAGATCCCTTGCAGGAGCGTATTAGTGAGCAAATATATTCCTCCCATTAACTGTTCATGCTCCTCTACCTGGGTTGGGCCTTCCTCTATCGTCCTTACCTCCTCCGCCAGACTATGTATCCCTGCCAATGCCAACTTCATCATCCAGCCAACATCCCTACTGCCCCACAGATCTTCTTCCTGGAAGGGCTTGAGGACCAACTCCTCCTTTCGCTCGTACCCTCTTGGTGTCAGCCATATAGGTTGCGTGACGCAGCTAGGCACCCTCAGCGACCATTCATTTATGTGGAGGTGGACATCCTCCTCCTGATCCAAGAACCCATCGACTGGTGGGGTATCCTCAATTGATTCCTGATTCGCCCCGTCCCAGTTGATACGGCTCAACCCATCTGCCCTGTTTTTGTCCCTGGGAATCCTTTCCAACTCAAAGTTAAACATCCAAATGTAGGTCAACCACCTTGCGATGGTTGGGTCAGATGGAGTATAACTTTTCAGGGAACACACCAGCGCGGTAGGATCCACCCTCAAGATGAGCCTCCTGCCAAAGATATAGTTACGGAAGGTCCTTAGGCAATGAAGCACCGCCAACGTTTCTTTCTTGAACTGCGAGTAGTTCCTTTCAGTCGTATTGAGGGTACGACTTTCTAACCTCAGCGGCCTCTCCTTGCCATCAGCATCCGCCTGAATCAGGACTCCTCCTAAGGCAGCGTCCGTCTCGACAACGAATGGCTTCTCCTCCGTGGCCTCGTAGTTTGGCGCTCCTAGCACCAAACCTCCTTCCTTGAATTCTCTCTTCATCCCTTCTACAACCTTCTCCTGGTCTTTGCCCCAGACCCATTCCTGATCCTGACGCACCAGCTTCCTCAAATGCTCCGTCTTGGTGGCGAAGTCTTTCACAAAACTCCTCCAAAACCCACAGGTCCCAAGGAAGCTCCTCACGTCCGTTATTGACTGGAAGGGGACTGACCACTCTAGGATCTTATCCGTTTTCTTCACGTCTGGCCTCCGCCCCTTCTCGTTGCAGACAAAGCCCAGAATCGTGACCTCCCTCATACAATGCTTCGATTTGGGGCCGCTCGCCGTCAGGTTATGCTCTTCCAGCAGACCCAGAACCTGATCGATGTCCTGGATATGCTTCCAGACGAACTGCCTCACTCCTGGCATCACCTCGTCTTCCTCCCTCTCCTTTGGGCCCTTGACCGCTAGATTGTCGATATAGGGCTGGGTAATATGTGGATTAACCATCTGCATGACCCTAATTATGTGCCTTTGCACTATTGCCACCGCACTAGTCCACTCCTGAGGGGCCACGTTCATGTGGATCAGTCCCCTTGGCGTATGCATTGCCGTCACCAGCCTATCTGGCAGGTACACAGGAAACTGGTCATACCCAGAATAAAGGTCTATAAGCGAGATTATAGGCCTTCCTGCGCATGACTCTAACAGGGCATCCACGTTCGGCAATCCTCCCGCGTCCCGCACCGTCACTGCATTCAGTCGTTGCAAATCCTGCACCCACCGTAGCGTTCCGTTCGGCTTGATAAAACAAAACCAAGGGGATGCATACGGTCCATTGGAGTAATCCGCCACATACGTCCTCATCTTCCCATCCAAGTAATCCACCACCTTCTTCTCCTCATCCGGATTCGGGTACCGCGCGCCCCTCAGGTTCCACGGCTCGTGTGGGACGGTATGGATTCGTATCATCGGGATTTTATCCATGTCCAACCTCCCACGCTCGTCATCATTAAATGCATACGCGCACTGCCTCCTCTTCATGGTCTCCACCATCAAGGTCCTCTCCTGGAGCGAAAGGAAACCAGGTTCGCCAATTATCAGCCCCTCCTCGTTCTCATTATTGATGCGGCATGGCCCTGCCTGCGCGCGCTCCGGCATACGTCTTATCAGCCCCCGCTCTCGCTCATAATAGGCTTCCTCATCCTCCGTGACCAGCACGGGGACCGGGCGACACTTCTTGTCTACAGTCTTGTACCGCCTTTGGGAGCCCTGCTTAAGCCCTCCCCTGAAAAAGGCCGACTTGTCGTTCGGGCCTGGGACATCGCAGGGTCCCCTTTCCTCCCAGGAAGCCGATAGATCAGCTCCACTTCTCCCACCTGAGGGCTTTCCAGGACCTGCACCTCACCGCCTTTATAGCCTCAGGGTCCGCCATATCGTGCGCCACCACCACCTCCATTGCCTTATTTACATCATTAAGGCTCAGAGACAACACCTCGCCTGCTCCTTCCTCCTCCTGCTCCTCCCGGAGTCTCCGTCGCGCATACTCGGACTCCTCGAAGGTAAAGGAGCCGAGGTTGAGCCTGTTCCTCCCACTTCCGGGCCCTGTATTCCGGCACTTGATGATTTCGTAGTTTCCGCAGGCCGGATCGGATAAAGCCAGGATCATCGTCCCCTCATGCCTGTTGAAGACCAAGATCTCCGTTCGGCAGAGGAACGACCTCCCCAGAAGGATGGGGTGGTCGACATCGGGCATGACGAAGAAGCACGTTCGCGCTCTTACTCTCCCAATCTCCACCATCACATTAGACGCGGTGCCGCAGAAAATGGCCTTGCAGTTGGCGCCGTGCAGCACACCATGGTCCGAGTGGTCAACTTCCAACCCTAACATCGTCGTGTCCCGCTCCCGGATGATATTCATCCTCGCGCCTGTGTCCACCATTGCAATGCTCGACTGGTCCCTCACCTTCAAATCCACTAACCCACACGCCACACATTTCCAATCCATCCTGGTGCCCGCCTCCTTCCACTCTATCTCCCTGGGCAAAATTGAGCTCAGGTGGACATTGGGCACTAACCTTCGAGAGAGCCGCCCTTTTAGCTCGCCACGGAGCCTTGGTGCCGACGCCAAAATGTCCTTTAAGTTCATCAAATCGTTATGGCCCTCCAGGAGCTTGTCCACCATTCGCTCCACGTAAAAACCTTCCTCCAGCCGGACTGCGTACTTTTTCCTCTTTGGCACGCCATCATGCAGGCTCAGCTCCGCCCCTCCCTGAGCCCCTCTCTTCTTGGCCCTATGTTCCGCTCTCCGGTCCTCCTCTTGTCGGAGCCTCTCGTCCTCTTCGTCATCACCCTCATCTTCCTCTTCTTGAACCTCTACTACTTCTTTCCTTCGTTCGGGCTCATGGTCCTTTCGAGGGGGCGCCCGACTGGGTGCCTGGCTAGGCCCTTGACTGGTGGTAGCCTTACTTTGGCCCCTAGTCTGCGCGGCCTGTGGTACCCTTCCATGCGACGTAGGGGGTCTGAAGGTCATCCCTGACCTAGGACCTGCTCCGGCCGTCGCCACGCTTGGACATCCTTGCGGTCCTGATGACGACTCCAGACCGGACCCATAGAGCATCACCTCAGGAAGGTGCATTTCCCATTCCCGGGCCTTTTCACACATTGCCCTTAGCCGTTCCTAGTACCTGCCGACCTTTGCAAGCAGGTCCTCCATCCTCTCCAGGATGGTCAAGGCTGACTCTCTCACCACTTCCTGCGCCTCATCGTCGGACTCAACAACTATGGGCTCCTCCTTTATAGTCCCCGCCTTCAGCCGCTGAGTCACTTTCTCATTTTCATCCATAATCTCCTCGACTCTTACACCAGGGTCTTGCCTTTCGTGCTATATCCTGAACATTGTTGGGGCTGCTGGAGGCCCTGCCGCTGCCCCCCTGAGGGCTTCCTGCCTGATTCCCTCCGGGGTCTTGGGATCAATGTGCTTTCCCCACCGATCGTATATGTCCCCATCCATACAGGTGGAGATTAGTCCTGCCAGCTCGTCACCCCGCCGCTGGTGGCAGAATCGTACTGTGTGGCCCACCTCGCCGCAATGTCAACAAGTTGCGTTCCGCCAGTCGAAGCGGGGCCTCCCATACCCTTGGCCTCCTCCCTGGCTGCCTTGGCCACCTTGGTTCTGACCCCCTTGATCATTCCAGTCTCCTCCTCGGCCTCCATCATTCCCTCCTCGCCCCCGGTCGCCCCCTCCTCTACCTCCTTGGCCCCGGCCCCCATTGCCCTGCCCGCCTTGTCCTTGGCCCCCTCCCCTGACCACACTAGCTTGCGAGGTCTGCTGGGAGGGCGGCGGTTGAGCCACGGGCTGGCTTTGGGTCGCTGGGTAGCTCGGGGGGCCCATACTTGCTGATGGGCCTGAATAGGGGACCATGTGCCCCGCGTGGGCCTGACTCCCTCCAAACGAGACACAGTGGTTGCAACTGGGCCAGGGCGCGGACTGACAATGCGGCACCCAATGCCCACAAGTCGGTGGCGGCCCCATGTGCGATGGTCCTGCTGGTGCTGGCGTGGCCGCGGCGACAGGCGGTGGTGCGGCAATGGCTTGGGGAACCTGCCCCTTCCCTGACCCCTGCCTTCCCTGCAACAAATTGCGCTGCTTCCTCTGGGCCTTAGTCAGGACCTGGGAGCCTATCTCCCCTCCGCCATAGTCTTCTTGCCCAGCCTCATCATCCACTACCCCTGACGCCCGGCCTTGGGCCACTAGCACCCCCCTTTTCTGTATCTCTGCTTCATTATCATACCCCAATGCTGCCAGCACGTCCGTGACTATTCTCTTCACCCCTGGGGTCCTGAAGGCGGTAGCATCCCTCTCCTTCCTCTTGCACCTTTGCAGCCTCATTTGGTGCTGCTCCACCTGGTCCAGACTCCCTTCTTCCACTCCCTTGTTAATGGTTGCCCAGGTGAGCCTCTTGCTTCCTTCCCCATACTTCGTCAGCTCTGCGGCCTCCGAGCCTGTGAGCAGCCCCAAAAATGTGGCGCACTGCGCCTCCTCAGAAATCCCGTGCACTTTCCTCGCCTTTTTCTTAAACTCGTGCACGAACGCCTCAATGGTAGAGAAGTCTTCCTTATTCATGACTTCCAAGTCGGCCATGGTCAACGGACCGTCCCCCAGCCTGTACTTCCTTCGCATTAGGTCTCCAAACTTCCTCCAACTGCCACAGGCGGCATCCACAACCTTAGTTACTTCCCGATGGTGACTATGCAGGACGTACCTCAGGACCCGTTGGAGCTTGACCTCATCTGACAGTCCCACCCGCGCCTGCTCTGTCAGATCCAACCAGTCAGATACCCGATCCCCTTTGAAGTGGAATGTCTCGACCTTCGGGACATTGCTCGGCGCCCTCTCACGCTTGTTCATGGCATCGATGAGGTTGTCGAGGGTCACAAGCTTCCTCCCACCGTCTGTCATCTCCTCTGGCATTTTAACCAATCGCCTCCGGCTTCAACTTCCTGTTGTAAGAAACAATAGGGCGAAAGACCCCACTCAGCGACTCAATTCTTTACGTCCCTATTGGGTTGACCACTTAGACACCTCATACTCTAGACCTAGCAGGCATTCCTTCTCCTATTTCCCTTATCCCCTCGATAAGGCCTATCCTTACCATAGAGTCTCCTCATACACTTGCCTCATTCAAGCCGTAAGCCAAGCCACCAATCAATCAATCATTCAACCCATAATCATATAGACCACCATACTGTCCACCCATGGTCCTTCCCTTACTCACCCATGAGCCTAGTTTATCTCTTACTACCATACCCGGATGTCGTTCCACCAGGGACAACGGTAGGCTTCTGTTATCCCTGGCAACGACGCCACCTGTCGGGCGCATCGGTCCGGCACCGCACGCGGCGGCGCGGGACCCTCTCGGCCGCGTCACGCAGGAGTTGAATCAACCTCGACATAGCATGCCAATGGAGCTTTCACAGGCCGCTCCGACCGAGTTAGCCATACCTCTCGCGAGCCCCTACGACAGGATAGGGCCTACGCGAGGCACGACTTACCTCCACCTTACGGGAGCTGTCACCTCCCATCGGTGGGCGTATCCCTGCCGAGCTACCAGTCCACAGTATGAAAGCTAATCAGTTGCAATCGCAGAGGTGGACCAGCCGAGGGCGTTTCTTGTTCGCTGTAGCATAGGGGGTACGCGCAGTAATACGCCTATCGGACCCGCACGCGAACGAACATTTTGGGGGGCTGAAGTCCCAAGCGCGGCTCGGCGTCGGTTGACTAGGACGTATCCCACACACCACGCGCACACCACTCTAACAACCACATGACAACAACGCGCACACATACACACGGAATGACACAACGCAAACGACGCGACAACGCTCCTAGCCCCTCGGTAGCCAACCCATAACTTCTCGGCGCGGAAATCGGATAGGCGTCGCGCGCGAGACTTAGTTTAAAAATCGCGCAGACGCAGGGCTAACTCATATCGACTCGCAATGCAAGCGCACGCAAGCGGTCGCAATGATGGCGTACCATGTAGTACCCATACTCACGCGGTCCTTGTTAATCTCGAGGGTCGCGTTCGACACTCAAGTGTCGGCTGACACACGCCTTGAGGGTTAATCTCTCGACGCTGGACAACCGCCATGCGTGGTTGACAACCACACACTCTCTTCTGCACCCTTATGCAGAGTGGGTGATACATAGGCCCATGCCTGTGGTGGTAGTCGTCTCTCGCGGCCCTAGGGGTGATTCCTCCCTGGGGCCTGGGCGAAAGTCAAGGGGTTTGACTTTGACGGCTGCCACGGACTACAACGTCCAACCATAAAAATCCCTAACGAGCAGACGAGGCACATACGAAAACAAGAAGAGGGGCTAGGGCAAAAGCCCCCCTTGCCTTAGAAGGAAAATCGTGATTTGGGGTACCCTCCCCCTCTACGGTTGGTGCCGGCAGCCTACAATAATCCAAGCGCTGCACCTACGCGTGAGCCCGGCAATCCCATAACCTTTGGACGCCGGGGCGGCGAGACATCTCGCGCAGGGCCCTAATATAAACTGCGTGACCGCAGACCAATCCTATGCCAACCACTGATGCCAATCATACGTGGTACCCGCGGCTCTGGCCTCGCGATATTGAATGGCTGAAGGAACACATCGCGAGGGGTTACCCCTCACGATATTGAAGGACTGAAGGACACGCCGTTCGGCCCTTGCGACATTTCCGCCTTTCAGGTGGGGTGTCCTGCCGGCCACAGTAAGCAGGCTCTATGCGAGGGGAGGCTCCTCCCCTTCAGGGCCTAGGGCTTGGGATGTCCTGGACAAGGACCTCAAATCCCGGCCCAGGACCAACGTCCGACTAAGAAAAGCTCCAAGACGCAAATAAGCAGAAGGGAGGGGCTTCCCTGTCCCTCAATCCCAACTCTCGCGCGGTTGTTAACATGGCCGCTAAGGCCTCCCGAACACTCATCGTATGTATATCCACGCATACATACAGAGGGGGGATAATGTGGTGACGATCACTCGTCACAGACACAGTGAGACTCCTCACAACCATGTATATGTATATGGAATCGCAGGCAGTCCAAATCCAAAATCCGAGCCACAAGACATACCTGCAACCACACCAAGAATCAAGCGAAAAAACACGCCCTACACGGAGTCAACCCCAATCATTCTCTATGCTCACACTCCTTCGCTTTAGCCATGCAAGCCCTCATTGCTAGTCCAACCAACCTCAATTAAATACTCAGTACCTTTGTCAAATGATCATTCAATAAAAGTCCGGGTGAAACCCTTCACAAACAGTAAAACCACCAGGGCTAAAGCCTTTTAGGTTGAGTATGGGGGAATGAGTTGGGATTGAGTCCAAGACCGACGAATCGGCAACCGACCTGTTATCAGTGATAACAGGAGATGATCCTCAAGGGATTAAGCTGAATCTAGTCCTTATCCTGAATCGAACGATCAAGACGACCTGTAACACATGACAGACCAATCCCCAAGTTGAGATCACAAATGTATGGAGAATACAACCCCATAACATATTCTCACTCAAATCCTCCTAACTAGCTAGGCCTAAATCTACCCTTAAGCAGTGCCCAAGGCAAAGGCAGACCCTGACTAAGTCTCCCCTATTCAGGGTGGATTGCCAGACTCGCCACCGGTCAAAATATAATCTAACTCCCTTAATTCAAGAAAATTTCGGTAGCGCTTCCCGTAGGAAAAATGCCTTTCAGAATTTATACAAGCTCAAATATAAAAGCAGAAATAATCTCTAACTCAAGAAAGTCAAATTTTGTCTGACTCCCTGAATTAGTAAAAATTTGGGAGAACTCTTCCGAGAAAAGGAGACTTTGGTAATTTTTACTAAGTCAGATATGACGAAAAGACAAGCTGAACTTTGACAAGTCAAAATTTATCTAACTCTTTGAATCTGTAGAAATTTCGGCAGCGTTTCCCGTAGGAAAAGTACCTTACCAGAATTTATAAGTATAGTAACAGACCTCAGAAAATGCAAAAATCGATCTAAGTAAAATAAAGTCAGCTCAGAAAATGCAGAAATTGACCTAACTCCTATCGCTCTAGCACGTGGCGAGCCTCTAAAGCAACTACCTGTCAACATGAAACCCATACCAAGTAGTAATCTCACTTAGCCACATGCAGGCCAAACCACAAAGGTAAGTACTCTCACCATCCCCAAGCCAATCAGAACAAACAATAGTTCATGATTTTTCAGTGAGTTACCCCCTCATACCCATCTTACATAAGGCATAGGCTAGGGCACTTGAACTTACAGAGCGCGCCCAACTTAGCCAGGCCCAAAGTCAGAATATCTAAACTTATAGAGCGTTCAGACTTGGCGAGGTATACACAAACAGAGGGCACAACTACTTTTCTCTTCTTTGGGCGTATGACTAGACCACTTTAGTCGCCCTGAACTGTTTAAATAGCCAACTTATATATACCTTTCTGAACTTAGTCTTCAAAGGGGGCATAAGGCTGAGTCGCTCAACTTAGAACATTGCTCAGCCTGCCCAAGTTTACCTTCGGTTATATCTCTTAGTTATACTCTCTTMARTTGTGATAAGCTATAGTCAGGCTACCTAAACTTATAGAGCGGYCTGACCAGCCTGTTCATAATAGCCTAGTAATATAATATAGCCAGAGTTATATCCATTGGGTTCCAACATGTGCGAGGCATTGGGTCAGACCACCTAAACTTATAGAGCGGTCTGATCCTCAGCCAGGTTCGTTTCTCTCTGATCCAATCTGTGCGAGGCAGTGGGATAGGCTACCTAAACTTATAGAGCGGCCTGCCCCCCTGCCATAATTATTCCCTCAGAACAAACAGAAGAAGGGTTGAACCACCTAAACTTATAGAGCGGTTCAGACCTCCTTGTTCAGGACCAAAGAAACTGAGAGAACCCCAAATAAGACAAGGCAACCCAAGGTACCTAAACTTATAGAGTGCCTTGGGTCCCTGAAAGCCACTCACAATCAAACCCTCACAGTCAGAGCAGCCAGGACACCTAAACTTATAGAGCGTCCTGACCCCAGCTCGCAAAACTGCATTTTTTACAAACCAGATCCGGACCAGATTTGCTTTTCAAAAAAATCTCTAACCATATCCAAACAAGATCTGTAATTCAAACAATTTTCAAACTGCATCCAACCCAGAACTATGTTTTCGAAATTTTTCCACATGCGCCCGACCCAACTGGGAACCAGAAAAAATTTTCGACTGCATCCAACCCAGCCAGGGCCAGCATAATATTCACCCGTAGCCTGCCCAGACACACCCATGGCCAACCACGTGCGCCCATGCCCCACTTCTTCCCACCCTTGCCCTACGTGTATCTACGTCGACGTAAGGAGAATGACGACTTACTATGTGGCTTTGCCAAATACTAAGGAGAAACACAGCTTAGTACGCAGCTTTGCCTCGTACAACAAAACAGTCTGCTCCAACCACGTCGATGCCCCGCCACGTGGCAGAGCATCGATATGGCACGGCATCGACGTTCTTGCGCTAGATAATTTTTTTTGTTTTTTACTATGCTAATGCAAAGAAGAGCAATCGTGTGTACTTTTCTTCCTTACTTGCTGCTGTTGATGCCCAGCCCTCTCTCTCTCTCTCTCTCTCTCTCTCTCTCTCTCTCTCTCTCTCTCTCTCTCTCTCTACTGAGAGTTACTGAGGTACGAACTACTTAGATATAGAGGAACATATATATTATATATTATATTATGTAATATATATCGCCATATATATTGTCACATAACATTAGGAGGCCTAGTTCGGGTCACCCGTGAAATTTTCCATCCAGCAGTGGCCCGTAACTGGGCTGTCCTACCAGCCGGCCGGCCCGGCCACGGCTGACCCTTTCAAAATTGCACCTGGACCAAGCCCGTCGGTTGCAGCTGGGCCGGGCGGTTTGCAGCCACGCCCACCTGATTGCAGGCTYTGGTCCTGACCCTCCAAGCAATTCACAGCACCAGGTCTCCCCAAACTTATGGGGACATCCTAGCCTCCAGAGCTTCAGGCTACGTAAACTTATAGAGCGGCCTGAGGCTCTATGCAAACCAAAAATAAACAAAGCGCTGGGCTTCCCCAAACTTAAGGGGACCTCCCAGCSTTAGTGACCCAGTCAATCTGCACACAATACTGCCTTCCTCCCAACCTTCCCCCAGATACAACCCATTTCATTCGCAGTCTGCTTTTAGGCAGTCAACAACTGAAACTGAGATTGCACATATGTCATTTTACTTGAATCTGATTTATGTCCTGAAAGTCAAACCAAAATCAGAGTACAGGAGTCACGCAGTACACTCAATCAAAACATAGAGAGATATACAAATAGGGGTTATAGTTGGTTCCATAGAGGGAGTCAATGGATTACCACTCAGTTCCCTGCCTCCAGGACTCCGCCTGAGTCCCAGCAGAGCTCCCGCAATCGGTGGGGCAACTTCYCACAAAGGCCTTGGTGCAGGTTATGGGTCACACGCCCGCTTGCCGCCTTCCTCTCATAACAATCAGACTAGACTTAGATTAAGAAGGGCAGAAGGAGAAAGTTTCAGTCTCTCAGATCCCAGGGAGGTGCGCTCAGTCGCGCAGGAGAGGGCCTTGTTACCTTCAGTCGCTTGAGGGCCCCGCAATGGCCGCCAACCGACTGCTTCTTCAACTCCTGAAGTAAAACTGCTGAACTCAACCCCCTAATGGTCTCCCAAATCGCAACATTAGTCCCCTAGTTGCCCGGTCTGTCCACCTCCTCAAGGCTCAACATCCCTCCTCGGCCCCGTTATGGCTGCACAGTGGCCTGAAGCAGTTCTTAGATGCAGCTGCAGCACTCAGCGGCGGCCAACGACCGCCACCACCAACAGCAGCAGCTCGTGTGCAATCAACAACAGCCTGTAGCATTAGTCCACACCCAAATCACTTAGTAGCCGCAGCCGTGCCCAGCWAACCGCAGTTGTAGGCCTGTTTATTGTAGTCAAAGGTGTCGTGCATAGTCAGACGGACGCAACTGTAGGCCTGCTTATTGTAGTCAAAGGCGCCGTGCATAGTCACATGGACGCAACTATAGCCATGATAGCCTTAGGGTGGCCTGATAGCCTTAGGGTGGCCTGAAAGCCTTAGGGTGGCCTGAAAGCCTTAGGGTGGCATGATAGCCTTTTCAGCCTTAGGGTGGCCTGATAGCCTTAGGGTGGCCTGATAGCCCAGGGTGGCCTGATAGCCTTAGGGTGGCCTTTTCAGCCTTGGGGCAGGAAGCTGGTGGCCTCTCTCTCTCTCTCTCTCTCTCTCTCTCTCTCTCTCTCTCTCTCTCTCTCTCTCTCTCTTTTGTTGGTATGTGGAGTTAGCAAACGGTGTGTATCTTGCCATTTTTTTTTTTCGTTTATTTTCCCTCTTTCCCTCTACCACCCGCCTGTCCCCCAGTCGTCCCACACCAGTCACACTGTTCCACATACGTGGCTAGTGGGATCGCCCTCCTGGAATCAGAAGTTCCGCCTGTGGAACGGTTGCCTTGCGGAGAACATTGTCGTTTTTTTGACAAGGGACAGAACATCGGCGTTTTTTTTTTTTTGCCTCCGAGTTCTGAGGTTTTTTGTTGTTCTTTGGTTGTTTGTTTTTTTGTTTCATGTCGTCTTGTGTTTTCCCTCTGATGTCCAGGTGTTCTGCACTTTGCGTTCATCGTTTTTGCCTGTTTCATAGCATTGTGGCATTTCGTGGCAAGAGGGCGTTATTTGGATGGGTCGACGGCGGCGGGCAGGAAGAGCGGTCGTCGATGCCTGTGCAGGTTGTGCGGGCGTTCGATTTGTGGGGGCGCTAAAGCCGCCAAGGAGCACTTCTCGAAGAGCGAGAAGTTCCGATGTGAGGCAGCCACTCCTGCTGTGTGGAATGCGATCTGGCCGAAGGACATGAGAAAATGTCCAAAGGAGTTCGCGTCGGCCATAGAAACGTTGCAGAGCCACTTGCCAGGTCATCCGAGCTTGCAGTGGCCACCTCTTCGATTCCCCGAGG